ACGGAGGCCCGGTGAGACTCTCGTGGAAGGTTCGCATCAATAGCTGTGCTTGATCGGCGTATTGTGCCATTTTGATGCGATAATATTGCAGATGCGCCTTCGGGCAGGTCGTGCCATCATATTTGTAAAAGTCAGGCACCTCAAATCTTTTAGGAGCTTTTAACCTTGCCAGGGTGAGACGAACCCACCGCGTTTTGGTCAGATATTTTGCCTGCAGACACACCACTGGTCTTTTCAGCGTAGCATCGAGCTCCGTCACATCTCCCTTCTTCGGATCAAAGGTTTCCTTCGAAGACGACACATCCATGTCGTGGTGGCACTTTTGCTTAATGAGATGAGCTACCGTAGAACGCAACTCGTCGACTTGATTTTGGAGACTCGCAATTCGCTTGTTCATGCCTTTGCGACCCATTCGTAACGCGACAACGTCGCCTCGCGGTGACAATATTACCTGAATTAGAGAGAAAAAAAAATGGATGATGAGTATAACAACTTCGAAAGATAGGTCATCGACAATGGTCAAACATCACATCACTTAATTTAGAAAAACTTGGAAAGACACTGTTTTAATACACGCAAAATTTATTTAACCAATCACTGCATAGAAGAACTTATAGTAAAAACACGAATAGTACATGAGACGATATTAAGGATCCGACCTTTGGGCCCAAAGGCCCAATGCCCTAATATATCTTAAACTAAAGCCATGGAACAATCAAGACTCAGTGAAATGGCCAAGGTGTCAAAAACATTGGCTGGTTTGACTAAATCACGAACATCAATTGTGCCCTCCAAAGATGTGAGTTAAGTCAGTTCAATACCATCACGGCAAACGCGATCAAACTGGTTTAAGGATGGAAATAATCATGCCTGAAACAATAACACCGAATAATACCGACGAGCAATAACGAACTTAGAAAGACCGCAATAGTTGCCCTTTTGACGATGACCGTAACACGAGCCGACGGAACGTGGCGGTAACTACTGGGCACCAGGAAAACCGAGAGACGCTGGAGAGTGATGAACGCCGGAGAACTTGTGGGTACGCCTATACTGCGGGAGGGGCACCGACAACTCCCTTACGCTGCTTGGAAGCACGCCGACGCTACCGAGACGAGCTGGATTGTGGTCGGATGGCAGCGAGGCGCTGGAGATTGCGAGCTGTCGAGAGGATGTCGGGGATTCCTTTCGACAGACGTGGCGCCGCCCTATCGGAGCAGAACCTCGGCACGCCTGGAGATCGTCGGGAGGACTGGCACCTTGGTGGAAATTTCCCCTGAACCAATGGTGTCCGTCGGAGGAGTCACGGGCGCACGAGTGGCACGCGATCGGTGATTCTCTCACGGATGAAGACAAATTCGCTCTCTCTCTCTCTCTTCGCTTTTTTTTTTTTTTCCTCCCCTCTCCTTGGGTCAGACTCCTCTTTATTTATAGCCGTCTGAACCCCTCAGATGTTCGACCAAAAAAAAAACGAAATCCACCGATGAGAACGACATGTCAAGAGACCCACGAAATCGGAGGTGAGAAGATCAAGTTTGTTAAGTTCTTTGAGCAGTTCAAGAGGAGAACGAACACCTTCATTGCCTCGGCACAGAATTATTGCCCAACCGAGTACCACTACTAGGCTAATTGCGCTCTCACTCTTCTATTCCATTCAATCTAAGGGCTCCAATCTTACGTGCGCTTGTTCGTGACATCATAGAAAGGCCACGGGATCGGCACGTGCGACTCATGCCTAAATGAAATGTGAAAGCAAACTATGTAAATGATATTTTTGTTTAGGGATCGGGTCGATCCCTAATTTTCCCGTCCAATAAATGACCAAATGAAATAACCGAAGATTTTCGTGTCGAGAACGGGTTCAACTTTCTAAGAAAAACGAGAATCCCACTGCTATGGCGAATGTAAACTTTCCTCCCCGTTCAAAATTAAATCGCTTGCAAGAATGGCTAACCAAGAAAACTGCAACAAGCCCCACCTCCACCCCCTTCCCCGTTCTAATTTAACATTTTCATGCACGTCAGTGATCACGGTGCTTATTATGATACTGATCACACGCTTAGCCGGATGGGTATCCGATAGCACTTAGCGTGTACGAGAAAAACCAGACTAAGTTGTTGATGGAGCAAAAGGAAAGGCCACACATCCGACTAAAGTTGAGGATAAGCTACGTGCCGGTTTTCGAGTGAATAACAATTGGATTTCCTCCATGTCCATGCATGAGAAGTTCAAATTTCAACCATAAATTAACGAAGATATCGCTAACATATGAAATGCTCCGTGTTTCACCTGGCTCGTATGTAGTTTGCGCCAGTACTTGACATGAATGCACAAAGGAATGTCCAGAAATAAGCACTGAGAGGAGACCATTATTATCTACTGCTCTCACTGATGATAATTGTCGGAGACCAGCAAGGACATTGACATTCATGAAAAAGCTGTACCTCAAGATCAGAGTCTTGTGTCACGGCCCGAAGAATTGAATCGTTCCTGAGGTTTTCTGGACGATGGACCGTGACCGACCCTTGGACGAGAAGGTAGGCCCCGAGTGTTCTAGTACTAGGGTTTTCTTGATATCTTCTAAAATACTCCTGGGGGCGGGCGATACGGTAATTGTACCCTTCCGTAATAAATGCGGTAGGTGGGGTAATTGGGGGAGTACGATCTCGACCGTTGAGATCGAGGTGAGATCTACGGATACGATCAGCCCGATACTTTGTATATTATGGGATCTCCTCCCCCTCATTTGATCATCTCTCATTTTCAAGAAGCTTCGGAGCTTCTCTCTCTAGAGTTTCTCTTTCTAAAGTTCTTGTGAGTGTGGGAAGGTTTACTTGGGAAGAAATTCCTAAGGCCGCACGGATGCGAGAACGCTAGATCGATCGACCCATGACACTTGACTCTCGATAAATTTGTTATACAATACAAAAGGAAAACAAAAATCAACCTTTAAGAGATCCAACAATCTACCAGATATTATGTTCCAAATACCATACCAACCTCAGTTATAGAAACTATGAGGAGAAAACGGCACGAGTGGGAGCATTCCATCTTTCACAACGATCAGAATGTTCATACATGTAGCCAAAGTCTAGACTAGGAATATCATAGGACAATAACTGCAGAAACATTCCTACTTTGAGGTGAGGTGTAAAGGACTCAAGATACAACAAGGTGACAGAATCAATGAAAGACAGTTGATTAATCGGCAAACAAGTTATCATTTGCACAGCTCAAGGTTTACATACCTCAAGAGTCGCGATGTAACAACATATGCCGGAAAAAAAAATGACATTTGCTTCAGAAGTAAATCATAGAGTTGCAACATATGCTGTAAGTCGACACCAACAGTTCATCCTGGAATAGTAGAGATAGACTACTACTACCTATCCCAACAAAAATTTCAGAAGCAGGGTAAAATTATTAGCAGATGGACACTCCCTAAAGCATTGAAATGATGTAGACGCAGTTTCCGACAAAAAACATACTTCATTTTAGGTGAGGGCAGCATCAACAGCTACAGGTACATGTATGAAATCTATAGAGGATAAAATGCATTAAGAAGCCAATTGAGCATGTTAACGGAACATGCAGCTTCAGCATACTCTATATTCAAACTTTCCAAGAAATTGAAAGCTAAATCTCCTACAGGGGCAGCAAGTCATTTTAATGGCATCAAACTTACTTATCCTTGCACTAGCTAGAAGAAGAAAACTTGATCGAAAAAACCATATTGCCTGTACATGAAAGTGACAATTCCATAAGACGAAAGTACCAGTAGCAGCCAAAAAGATGAAAGCCCAGATTGAACAGAGAACCATAGAATGACTATTATCTCCCCAGCTCGCTAAACAGTAAGAAATTATGTGACCATTATGTCCGTTAATAAGTGCCAGGGCCATTAATATCATTCTTGGAGTTCTGGAAAACCCGTACAAAGGTTGGTATTGGGGGTCTCGGTTAAATTCCACAATGATACTATGCAAGAAATCCATGGCGGTCAAAAAAGGAGGTACATGACATTGGCGTTAGCAACGAATAAAAAGAGATACCTATAGTAAGTGGAGATGTTAATGAAAGATTATCTGCTCATTGCTAGCCATTGAAGAGCATTTAATGCCACAACATTCTTTCTGCAGTATTTTTCACAACATCTAGCATGATTCATGGCGAGTATAGTGCCTATTTAATCAATAAAAGCTACTCCTGCCATTATTTCATAATGTCTTCATGTGATTCATGGATACTGTGGAGCCTAACTAGACGACAAAAGCTATCCCCATGTGAACCGTGCGGTAAGTAGATATTTTACCCTTGATCAGACCAGATCATTTAAAATAGCTATTCCATTTAAACAGGACAATGGACAGCAACATTATTGGAGTAAACCAAAACCGAATAGATATCATGCTATAATAAACAAGCTTTTGGAAAAGATGAGGCCACTAAGTAGAAGATAAACAGAAAATAGATCCATCTGAATAGCAATAAATCACAATATTGCTATTCTTTCCAACCTTCCAAGCAGTGAACACGTACATGCATGGCACTGATCAGTATCAAGATTAATTTCATCCATAGAGAAGAAAGTCAACTAGATTAAATGAAGACCATATAAACAGCCTTTAAGTTCTAATGCCAACTAATAACGCTCGTTAAGCATGTAAAAACAAATCCGAAAGCACGACAGAAACCAACTTTCTACCAACTCATAACGACTTACCGCGTTCAGAAAAACATAGCAGCAATTTCTTTACCAGTGCATGTTCCGACAAATAGAATAGACCAGTCCCACTCCATATTCAATCCCAAAACAATTATTTCAGTCCTCTCACGTCTTGCTTGATTGATGTCCATCACAAAACTTTGGAAAGTTGACACAAAACTAATACACAGACTGAACAGCAAGACATTCCCAATGCATTAGGAAAAAAGTTCACTAGAGAAAACCGACGAACAAGCCGAATACCTATAGCAACTTTGATTAATGTCCTATCGAATTCAGCCAAAGAAATGCTCCATTATACGTTCAGAGAATGCAGATAAAATTTGGTTACATAATGGTACAAAAGGCAAATGACGATATACTTCCATTAGGCAAAACCATATCTAAAACAGAAAACAAACGCAGGACAAATAAAAACCTTATTAAAAGCTAAACCCTTTACAATCAGTTGTCATCACCACAAAATTGATTTTCGCGAGTGCTTGAAGGTCCCTGAACCTGTGGAGATGCACGCATCGGCCAGCCAAGCAGCGGAGGTGAACCAGGGGGGGTCACATCTTGACTAGGAGAGAAGAGACTTAGCTCTACAAAAGTTGCTGTTGATGGGCCATCCTTTCCATAAGTCCGAAAAGAAATTGATCCACGTTTGGTAGAAGACTCAGAATTTCTGCAAGGGCTCATTCTACCACTTTCCTCAAGATGGCTCAGATTGGCAATGAGTGAAACAGTCTCATTCTGATCATCACTAACTCTTCTTCTCAGCTCCAAGTCATGTAGCTTCCCCAATGCTAAAGAATCCGCCACTGGGCAGTACACCAGCAAGAAAATACACACCCCAGCACAACAGAAAAGGGAAAGAAATGCCAAGAACACAAGAGCTTCAAAAAGAATATGTTCTGGCTTAGATAAAACCGATAAACCAAGTAATAGGATCCTTAATGGAAGGAAACCCGAAACTGAGAATATCAGCGCGTATACTCTTTTCTGCAGACCCTTATTAATGACTAATTTTAGGATCCGCCTTCCTAGCCAAAATAAGTAGGCAGTTAGGAGAAAAGCAAGAACCCCAAGAATAATAGTACTCATTAAAGGGTAAGTGCAAAGCGCAACACCATCAGTCCTCTTCATAGCGCTTGTGAAATAATGCGGCAATCTCCGTCCAGTACTTTTAACTCCAGTACTCGTACTTTTAACCTTGCTTAACTTCGGTCCAACCAGAATGATGATGAGCTGAAGAACAAAAACTGGGAAGCAGTAGAGAAGAATATAACCGATTGTTTTTCCATTCCAGTTTCTGCTTAAGATTCCTGACTCCATCCTCTGCAAAGGTGCCCGAAGGAGAAACACAAGAGTAATGAACAAGCAAGGTTCTGCAAAACCAAGATTTGAGACGACATAACCCTCGCAAAAAGTTTCCTGCCATTTGTAACTAACGGAATCCAACACTCTCCCGTTCTGTCTGAGCAAGCTTAAACGAACAATCTCACCGAAACCCCACACAATCGAGAACAGGACGAATGTGATCCGGATGACCCAAGGACCCGTAAAGTAACTGAGTTGAACGAAGTCCGGGCTACGAGTGCGAGACCTGAAGTAAAACGAGTAGATAGTGCATAGCAAACCCAGGAGAACCAAGAGAGCAACCAGACAAATGGTCACCACACCGAATGCTTCGGTAACAAATCTTGTCAGGGGCATCACCCGAAGCAAAGATTCCACGCATGCTCTCTGCCAGCATGGATGCACGAAACTTTCTCTGATCAGACTACACTTCCTTCCACAAGCAAATGACAGAAGAAGCAGTCCCCGGACCAATGCAGGATGATACGACAGACGCCGATTTCACCATGTACAATCAGTCGAAAATCACCGTAGACGAACACAGCCCGAATCACGTCATTAATCCGTCCACACCACGGCTCGTCACACAAATACTATCCTAAGAAGGACGGTGTCTATGTTCGGGTTCCAGATCTGCACGCAGCAAAATTCATCAGCTCGAACTCATCATCCATGCTTTGCCAGCCACAATAGGATCAAAGCACGTCAGCAAAAGTAAACACGACAGCACAAACAGCTATAGGTTTCTAACGGCAATGTCTGGTGAGATAAGCTCGCACCTGCGCAAACTCGGCCAATCGCAGAACCATAAACGAGATCAAAATCCAGACGCATACACGCACGAAATCACATAACTCGCAGCTCCATTACATTCCCGTCCCTAATCAGCACCAAACCACGAAGGAACGCCACAACAACCGACCCAACAGCCGAAAAAGAGATTTCAAAAAAATCAAGAAAACAAAAGAAAGGACAACCCAAAAAACCTTGAGAGCGACTTGACCCCCGGACACACGCGAGAACGTACCCAAACCGCAGCACACAACAAGCGAACGCAACGAGAGGCGGTGCGATTTCATCGGCCGGGACTTCGAACGAAGAGGAAGCCGGAAAAGGGAACGACCAAAACCCAAGTTTTACTCATCGCCTACATGCCGGAACAAGAAGAGGCGCGACGGAAAGCGGTAAAAGGCGAATCGATCGAGAGCTCACAATGCAGGGATTCTTGATCTGGCGACTCCGGCCGGCGAGAGCTCCGATGCGCGAGACGCAGCCCGCGAAACCCTAATCCGCGCACAGGGGAAGCTGGAGAGAGAGAGAGAGAGAGAATGCGAAGCTAAGAGAAGAGAATGCGAAGGAAGGAGAGCGAGAGCACACGAGAGAGAGAGAGAAAGAAAGAGGAGTTAGGGGGAGGAATAGGTGAGTGGGACTTTGTTGGAGACAGGCTGTCTCCAGCTGTGTCGACCGAGCCTGGAGGTTCGGAGCGCCGAGACCCCGGCTCGTGGTGTGTGGGGCAAGGGGCCGCGGGGCCCCCCGTCCGATCCGATCCTACGTGGCTCCGCTGCGGCGGCGTTTCCGTCGAGCGGGGAGGGGGGGGGGGGGGGGGCGGGATGTTTCGGCCCCGGTGATCGAGTCATCGCATCCTGATTGACAGGCTCGAGCCACCATTTTCTCCGTATCCTCCATATTTATTACCGAAAATGCCCTTCTTCGCATTTATTGACGACAGATGGCCCCGATGTACAACCACTTCATTAATTTGCAAGCGTTGATATTTAGTTTTATTTCTTTAATGGGGGTGGATTTTGGATTGAAAATTAACGACTTGGGCATGGAAGCGGAGCAAAAACAATTAAATGTGAGCGATATAACGACGTGAATGTAGCAAAAAATAGCTAGCCAAATCAAAGACAGTCAATTCCTTTAGCTCGCATCTTGCGCGGGCGTGTCTATTTGCACAGTTCTGAACAGTCAGTAAGCCTAGAGTATGAGATATGATGCAAGAGAAAGATGTGAATTTTGTTTGATGTTGGTGTGCATATTAGTTTTTCGAGATGAGTTTTGTGCTTTGTGGAGGCCTAAGATTAACTCGTGCCCAAAGATATTGGCCCTAATTTAATTTTTGATGATTACAAAGCTTGCTCACATATGTTGATAATTTGGAATCATAATCGCCGTATTTAAGTACTTCTTTTTGCAAATTTTGAAGAGGGTTAAAGGACAGTATTGGCATGGAAGAACAGGATCAAGTACTCGACCAAGTAATAGCCGGACATCGGGACACCCGATCAAGTAATTGTTGAACATCCGGCTCTTTGTAGTTCAATTGATTTCGTCCGCCTAGTTCAACGAGCCTTCCAGTCTTGATCGAACAATCGGAATCCTCAACGGTCGAATTTCTAGCCTTTTGAAATGTGTCTAACTACTAGTTGGACTTGCTTTTCTATACATAAAATTGCCCATTACATCAAAAAGGTAGTGAACCCTACACATGCTTGCCGAAAACTATTGTATACACTTTGCAATCTCAACTCTTGAGAGATTCAGCTTGTGTGAGAAATACATTGTAAAAGATTGCACCTTATTTGTAACAAAGATTAGGCATCAATTTCGACCGAAGCACAAAATTTTACCGTTTCTACTCTTTCATGTATACGCATGTCGCATGTTTAATAACATGTGTACTCACATTGGTGCATAAACATTTGATATTGTAGTGCATATTCTAGCAATATTTGAAATAAGTCTATTAAAAAATTTTAAAAAATAAATTATGTAAAATTCAAATGCTCTATGATTAAATAAGTTGTAATTTTAATCTCATTTTACTTTAAACATTTTGTTGTAAGTTTGAGATAAAATCTTTTCTAATATTAAAGTAACATGAGTTATTTATTCTCTCTAGTTCACGGGTAGAAAAAATGAATTTAATAAATTGTGTTACAAACTAACGACAATTTTATTAAAGTATATACATTTCTCAAACCAAGTGAATTTATTTGGCCACTGGAATTTCTTCAATACACTAAATCCAATTAATCTTATAAAATCCGTTATGGTTTAATCAGCAATAGCATCTCACAAATAAGATGTACCTTTAAAGTGAAACTTATTCAATTAATACTATGAGCTATACATAATTTATTAATAAATGTAATGTTCTCTATTCCACTATGATAAAGATATATTTTAACATTTTGTATAACTAATTTGACTCAATTATATTAAAAGAAAGTGAAATTATTCATGTGATAAAGCAATATATACTCCGAATTGTAAATAGTAATGTTTAAACTAAATAAATTTTTTAATTGAGACTTATTTTGTAATAAAATAGGTGATACCTGAAATCCTTTATTTTAAATGAGGGCACAAAATTTGTAAATTAAATGGATTTCCTTAAAACCACAATTTCATTGTTTTCAAAATAAATTATACCATTGCAAAATATACTTGAAGATACTTTCTATTTATTTATTTCTTAAATTTAAGCTCAAATATTTGAATTTTTGAAATAAAAAGACAAAAAAAATTTATTACAAAAATTAAAGCTCATGAACTTTATCCTTATCCATAGTTTTAAATTATAATCAAAATGAATTTATTTAGCAAAATATTTTTTTTGGATGTACAGAATCGAATTATTTGAATAAAACAAGTAATGATTTAAATTAACAATACTTTATTTATTAAGAACACGTGTCCTTAATTTGTGCTATTATTGAGAGGTTTTCTAAATGTTTACTCTTGTGATATTTTCAAAAGTAAACTATATCATCTATGGATAGACTAAAAAATATTCTCTCTTTATCTATTTAAATTGTAGATTAAAAAAGATAAGAATTACATTACAAAAGTATCTTTGCTTGGTAATTGTGTTTCAAAAATTAAAGCTCATGGACCCTATCCTTATCCATACTTTTTCAAATTTTTCCCTTTTTTCCAAGTTAATGGTCAGGTAAGACCAAAAAAAAATATTGATATACTTTCATTTTATTCTTTTTTTTTCTAAAATTTAAACACAATATGAGATAGAAATTGAGAAATGAGAAATCATTAAACTAAATAGCTTATCCCTTGAATATGCCCCATGTGGCGAACTATGCACATGTCTTGCTACACAACATCACACATGCAAAGTGAAGCGGCGTACATTGAATTTATTTTTAACCGACGGGGGCCTCCACATGTCTCCGGAGATTAATTCCTCGAGGACTATGGTGTTGGATTATTTACGTGTGAATGGATCCGTCAATTTATTGTCCGGCACTCTGGTACTATGTTTACTCCTCAAATAAGGAAAAATCACCACAAAAAAGTTATAAACCTATTACAATTATGCTTATTCATTCCTAATTTTTTTTTGTTAATTGAGTCATAAACCTTTTCATGTTGTACCAATTCAATTTATCCGGCCAATTTTGGGCGGAAATTGCCGACGTGAATGCCGCCCATTCTACGTTGCATGATTAACGCTGATGTCGACAATTTTTTCAGAATTTTTTTATTTTATTTTAATTTTTTTCCTTTTCTTTCTTTTCCTTCCTTCTTTTCTTTTTTTGTTTCTCAGTATGGCCTGCAAACTGTGGTTGGCGAGGCCATCACGGCCGCGAGCGAAGACGGCCTTGCTTGCGGTTGGTAAGGCTATGGCCCCATTGCTTGCAGCCGATGAGGCCCTGGCTAGGCTGGCCTTGCTTGCGGCCGCATCTTGCGATGGTCTGAGCAAGGCGCGCGCAACCATGGGTGAGGTCGCTGGCCACAATGGAAAACACAAAAAGAAAAGAAGGAAGGGAAAAGAAAAGAAAAATAAATACATTCAAAAATTTGTACATGTCAATGTCGCCCGAGTCACGTAGAACGACCGGCGTCCACCAATTTCCGTCCAAAATTAGCTAGATGAACTGAATTGGCACAACGTGAAAAGGTTTAAAACTCAATTAGTAAAAAAAATATAAGTTTTTGATTGAATTAGCATAAGTACAATAGGCTTAGGACTTTTTTTTTTTGGTTGATTTTTCATCTCAAGTAATATCGAGAATGCTGATGACCACACAAAGGTTAAGCGCGCTAGTGAATGTTCTTCGGTTGATCAGCACTCTCCTCGGATTCATCATGTTTAAGAACATTTTGCAATAAATCTGTCCCATTTGAAGCTCGGATGTCACACTCCAAGAAGCATTCATTGAACTTGACGTGAACTTGAGCTATAAAAAGTCCCTTTCGTGGATGGCTCCGTTCTCGAAGGGGAAAGGGAGGGCGCAATTGCCAGCAATATGCCGTGCTAGCTTATCAGGGGTGCAAATGGTGCTGGGCCGGGTCCAGAGCCCATGGAAGCTGCGGGCCATCATGGACAAAGTGCAAAGAAAGTCTTGTTCGGTCCAACCAGGTTGCAGACTGAATTGCTAAAGCCCGATAAAAGGAGGTTCTTGGCCAAAATTGGATTTTAACACCACAATTACCTCTATAGAAACCCGTAATTTATGTTATCCTTATGACGTTTAATGGACAATTTAATGTGATCTTAAGCATATTATGGCTCCGTTTGGGAACCACTTTCTCAAGAGAGGACAATTTGGGGCGTTTGGCAAAGTTTTTTGGGCTTTCAGCATTTTTGAAAGGCCATTCCTAGGGTTAAATAATTTTTTTTTCCAAAACTACCCTCATAATTTTTTTCGTTTTTCATTTTTTCGATTTTGCCCTCGTAATAACTATTTCATCTTCTATGCGCGAGGCGACCGACAAGGCCAAATCTGGCTACCAGCAAGTTAGTTTTGCACTGACTAGCCTTGCTTGAGGTCGCACGACCTCAGGCGACCGTTCTTTAGGTCACACTTGGTTCGTGCGACCTTAGGCCGTATATCCTAGGTTTGCATGACCCCAGGTGATGCTCGCCTGGGTTTGAGTGACCCAAGCAATGGTCGCCTTAGGTAGGCGCCAGATCTGGCTCATATTCGCCGGTTGCCTGCTGAGCCCTTTATCAATTTTGAGGTTTTTTTTAATAAAAAAAAATAGCAAAAGTGCTTCACAAAGTGTGATTTTTCAAAACATCCTTTAAATCAAAAATTGTTTCCCAATGCACTTTTAAATTACAATGTACCAAACAATACTTGTATTCTAACTTGAAAACTTGAAATTCTTTGCATTTTCTCAAAAACTTCCCAAAAAATTAAACCAAACGCACCCTTAAATAAAGCCAAGCGACTATAAATAAATCCCAACCTACCTTTTCTCGCGGGGGTTGATAGCTATCTTAGGCTATTACTAGTTGGAAGGCCCATGCAAACTACATGGGCTTGGGCTTCTTCAGATAGTAAGAATGATTTATGGGCCGGTTGAAAATTAGGTCCAAGTTACGTGCTCCCAAAAATAGGAAAT